GTACCTGACTCAAAGGTCCTGTGAGGAAACTAGGCTCCAGAGTGCCTGTCCATGATCACTCGCTCGTGAGTGACAAGGCAGTGCCAATGTATTTTTATTTCTATTTAAGTGTCCATTTTTGATAGGTCGTACCATAGCCATTTAGCAGCATGTTGAAACTTTTAAGCAGCATTTAAAATTTCCTTTGTCTGAACCAGAAATCACATCAACAGCATAATGTTAACTTGTTTCTGATTACAAAAATAACACTTGGAAAATAAAAGTGTAAAGAAGAAAATGTAAAAACCAGATTATTATTTTCCTGTAGTGGAAACAACCGTGAGTGTATTGCCTCATCTTTTTTTTCTCATCACATGGTTATTTTCACTTACTCTAACATGAGTATTTTTCAATGTCTATTTTACCACCTTTCCTAGTCAAGTTTTGAAGTAAATACACAGACACACACACACATACACACACAAAATAAATTAGCATCTTTTTTGTTTGTTTTTTTGAGACAGAGTTTCACTCTTGTTGCCCAGGCTGGAGAGCAATGGCACAATCTTGGCTCACCGCAACCTCTGCCTCCTGGGTTCCAGCAATTCTCCTGCCTCAGCCTCCCAAGTAGCTGGGATTACAGGTGCACACTGCCACCACACCCGGCTAATATTTTGTGTTTTTAGTAGAGACGGAGTTTCTCCATGTTGATCAGGCTGGTCTCGAACTACCGACCTCAGGTGATCCACCAAATAACTTCTTAAAAAAAGGTCAAAATACTCAACTATATTTTGCAAGCCAAAGGGTTATCTTGCAGAAGAAGTAGGCACTTGCAGATTCAGTTATTAAAATCCTACTTATGGTTTGCTTGGAGAGGATAATATATACAGTGTCCTCAGCAGTCATTGTGGTGTGGTGCGAATAGCGCAGGCTTTGCATTCGGGCTGATCTGACTGAATCCTGGTCCCACTACTTGCTAACTGCATGATGTTGGACAATCACTTAACTTCTCTGACCTTTGGTTTCCTGTCTTTAAAATGGGATGAATGATGCATACCATTCAGGGCTGCTTTAGGATTAGAGACAGCAAATATAAGTAAAGTGCCTGACCTGGTGTCTGGATGTGTTAGCCATAGGATAAGTGATAGTCAGAAGAAACCTAAGGCCTTAGGCTTACAAAACTGAAGTAATTTTGTAAAAATTAAAGGCAACCATGTTATAGCCGTAATTAACTAAGTAACTGTGTCTTCAAAATATTTATTTACATAATTTACCATTTTGCCTTTCTCTTGCAAATATGTTACTGCCCAAAGAGGAATGGAAAATGATGAAAAAGTAACTGTCTGGAAATGCTTTCTACCCTGGCAGGCCATGGTCCAGGCTACAGTGTTTACCTCATTTCAGGAAAGTCCAAAGCATGATGGGCCTGGAATAGGTCTTAGAGATTCACTGATGAGTTCCCAAGGAACATTCACAATCCAGGGCAAGAGATTCAATTCAGAAAATGCAAAAACCTTTTCACCACACTTTTTAAAAAAATTCAGAATAGGCTTCAGTGAACCCTATTGTGGGTGGCAGGAGTTGGGGTCAGGGGTATAAATTCTGAAAACTTGAGTTGTTTTATTGAACATAACAAATGTTGGGGAAAATTAAAAAGGTATTTCTTTTAGGCAGTAGGAGGTTAATACCTGACTGTGTCTGCAGAAAAGCAACATTGAGGCAACTTTTAAATCTTTATTTCCAAATAAGACGAGAAAGTTAGAGGAAATCACTCATGTCTGATCTAGAAAGAATTAGAGACATAGACATATCCCAAATAAGAATACTAGTAAGGTATTTGTTTCCTTTATAAAAACTTGCCTAATACCATGCTTATATCACTTACAAATGCCTTACTAGTACGTAAGTGATGTAAGTATGGTATTAGGGAAGTTCTTATAAAGGAAGCAGGACAATATCTCTAAGAAAATGATACGTAAGTGGGTCTCACAGGATGAACAGAAATTCAGCAGCAAGGATAACTGCCTTCCAGGCCCAGTTAACTGTATATGTAAGTGAACAGTGGATTATGGAGAGCATGAGGAAGGAGTGTGGGTGGACAGTGAGCTTAGAGCCACTGCACTAGTACTAAGTTTGAATTACGGAAAAGACAGCAACGTTTTAATTTACATTCAAGAGAAATGTCGAAAATGTTATATAATGAGTAAAAGCAAAAAGAATAGCAGAGCCAGTCAATCAATATAAGATGATTATTTTAAACACAGAAAATACACTTAAATGTGCCTTTGCCTATGAAGGAGTGAAGGACATGCCATCTCAAAATATGTCATATTGGTATATTGATTGTTTAGAGATGAAAACTTTGGAGAAATTAGAATTTCATGAGGCTATGTGGACGGGATGCCTTCCTGAGCTAGGAGCTTCTGTATACAGAAGAGACACTGAATGAAATTGCCAAGATGATGATGTATATCCCCAAGGAGAAACAACTCTTTTCTTCCCAAGACTGCAAGCCTATTTCCCAGAGGATTAACTACTTCCTGTCAGGAAGGCTAGATGAAGACTTCCTGGAGCTGCCTTTCTTCCGCTAACAGGACCCTGGGACCTGTAGGAGCACCCCATTTGGGACTGTGAGGTGCTTGAAGGGGTGTGGACTGGCATCCAGCAGTCACTAACACGTAACTGGTGTGTAAAAGGCAGGCATTACATTAGAAGCAGAGTCAATCCTTTTTTTGGAGGTCCCACTGAGATAGGAACTTGGATCACTGGATTCAAAGAAACAGAGCCAATTCTTAAGATCACTTGGTGCCTTAAAGACACGCATTCCAAAGTGGAATGTGGTTGAAGAAAGTGGGCCAGGTGGTTGAAGAAAGCCATGTGGGAGCTCAACAAATCCCAAGGGCTTATTATGCTGCTGCAGATGGTCTCCTTAGCATCTCAGCTCTTCTGCAAGGAAGAGCTTGGGTGTTAGGCCTCAGAGGCTGTAAGGTCCTTGGGTTACAGAGCAGGGGAGAATGAAGTTCTGTGACCCAGGGGTGGAGAGTACACTCTAGGTTTGCAGGCTGGTGGTACTCCCAGAGGAAAGCCAAGCTGCTTCTGTTGTGAGCGGATCAGCAAAGAGCCTCGGGCTGAAGGGAAAAGTGCACAGAGGAAGATATTTTACAAATCAGGTCAGTTTAGGCCAAGACTTATTATGCTCTACAAATTTTGAGGGGGGTGGGGAACTTTTTACAAACAAGTAGGGGTCTTGACATGTTATATATAAAGATTAAAATTTTTGATTTTTCTTAAAAAAAAAAAATTAAAGGCCAAGGTTTGTCCTTTCCTGCATGCAGCAAGTGATCAAGATCCCTCTGGGAAGAGTACGCTCTCGATACCAAGGTGAGAAAACAGCGCTTATCAGCAGAGACTTGGAATTGGAGGCTGCAATGGACCTGAATAAACATATTTACCTTATCGTCCATCTGTTTTACACACCCCCACACCATATATCTCCAGTGACTCCCCTAGAAAATTTACTTCCTCTAGCCAGATTTTCCTTGTCCTGTTATGTTCCTCATACTTATCACTCTGTGCCTAAAAATGTATAAAAGCATCTTGCTTTGGCCACTTCTTTGGACTTCACTTGCTTGTAAAGATCTCCATGTACATGCAAAACTAATAAAATTTGTAGACTTTTCTCTTGTTAATCTGCCTGGTGTCAGTTTGGCTCCCAGATCCAGCTGAAGAGCCTACTAAGAGCTAAAAGGGCAATGAGGGTGATCTGTTCTCCTCTACACTAAAATTGGACCAGTGTCTTATTCCAGTCCAACTAGTTAGCCAGTGCTTCAAAGGAGAGTGAACTGCATTACCCCGCATCAGAAATCTGTTAGCATAATAAGTAATCCGATTGATAAAACATCTAAACCATTTGCCATGACTTGTTCTGTAAAGTGTTTAAAATCCATCACGCCCCGAACCACTGATTCTCTCCAAGTTTTCATTATTCACCACTGATTTGGTTAAAGATCGCTTTTCAGAGAGAAGTTTATAGAAGTGGCAAAAAATACATATATATTTATATAAACAAATATAAATATTATATACATCTATCTTTAAAATTAGTGATAAGAGACACTTTGGTCGCAGATCAGATAGGAAATAAGTAAATAGAAAAGTTGAAAACCTAAAACTCATGCTATTCTTATTACTTTATTTTCTCATAATTATTTTTTGATGTTTTCCTTTACTGTAAGCACTAGATGAGGAGCCAGGAAGCCAGGATTCTAGACCCAGCCATATCGCTTTCTACACATTGCCTCATCTCAGACACATCCTTTTACTTCTCTAGCCCTTGGTTTCCTGATCTCTAAAATGAAAGGATTTTCAAATAGGTTCCGCAGGATATAGCAGAGATGCTTCAAGGGCCACTCTGGAAGATGAAGGGAGGCCTCCTGCCAACCTTTCCCCTTCAGACAGAGCAGCTTCACTTTTATTTGTATTGTAAGTTGGGGCTGTTACAAGACTTTTTTTTTTTTTTTTTGACAAAAGGATTCTGTCACTTTTTAAAAGTTTGAAAATCACTGAGCTAAATGTTCCATAAGGGCCTATCTAGCTCAGAAAACCAGTTTCATAGCTGTAGAATGGGGATAACAATAGTTCCTTCTCTTAGGTTTCTGAGAGGTAAACAAGCTATTACATGCAGAACAGGGCATAGAATGTAGGGAGCATTCAGTGTGTTAGCCGTTAGTCTCTGCCACCCCTTCCCCAGCGGGTCCCACACAACTAAGACAGCCTTTCCTGTGACTGCATACTTCAGAGTATGAAATGATGGCCTGAAAAATTGCCTGATCCATCTGCTTTATATCAACAACACCATAAAAATGTCTTGGACATGTTCTCTGTGAATTTTTAATATAGTTTATTTCTAGTTTTTGTACTTTGCCTTTTTCTCTCACAATTGAATTTTCTTCTTTCATTTCAGATTTTTAAAATAATTATGATAATGCATTTTTGAAAGTTAATGTGTTGGTGTGTTCCAGACTTGTCAGCTTGTGGGAAAGTGACATCAGCGTCCACCCGCTAACCCTGCCCTCTGCAACCTGCTTGGAGCTGCTGTTGATATTATCAAGGAGTAATGCCAATCTGCCTTCATCCCTTCGCCATATGAATTCCTTTCAGGTGAGCAATGGCTTCTTTTCTAGGCTGTGATTTCTCAGTTTTACTTGGAATTATTTTTCAAGGATCCTCTCTTTCACAGGAGATAGCCCGTGGAATTTCCCAGTTTCAAATCATAGCAATAAGCATAATGCATGTATTGCTTTGTCTATATGTTTTTTGTTTGTTTTTTGGAGGCAGAGACTCGCTCTGTTGCCCAGGCTGGAGTAAAGGGGCACAATCTCAGCTCACTGCAGCCTCCGCCTCCCAGGTTTAAGCAATTCTCATTCCTCAGCCTCCTGAGTAGCTGGGACTACAGGTGCATGCCACCACACCTGGCTAATTTTTTGTATTTTTAGTAGAGACAGGGTTTCACTGTGTTGCCCAGGCTGGTCTCAAACTCCTGAGCTCAGGCAATCCAACTGCCTCAGCCTTCCAAACTGCTGGGATTACTGGCATGAACTGCCGCATCCCGCCTTTGTCTATCTTTTTTTAAATAAATGAACAAATAGAGGCTCAGAATTGACTAGGTAATTGTCTAGTTGTGGCAGAACTCACAGCTCTATAACTCCAGGCTTTGTTCTCCAGCTCCCATCTTCCTTCTGGGAAATGGCCAGAAGATCTGGCAGACACTTGTGAATGCCACCTCCCTTCTGCCAAGTTTGCAGGAGACCCAGGAATCTTAATCATTATTAGTGGGTTTGCTGCTGTTAGCCTGAAGTCAAATTGCCAAATGGATGTTTAACAGGATTGGTCTGTTTAAAGGTGTTCTACTTTCCGAGCCATTTCCCTCTCTCTCCTTAGCCCTCTCCCTTATCACTTCCCTAGTGCCCTTGATATTTATTTGTTCTAGTCTAAGTCATTTCTGCAAATGTAGACTGGCCAGCAAGATGACCAGTAGGAAAACTCCCCACCTCCCTCACAGTCAGCTAATTGTCAGATGAGGTGGCAAATGAGAATTAAATGTTAACTTGTGGCTTAAGTTGTGGCCCTATCACTACTACATGTAATTGCACATATCTGCGACTCTTCACAATGGGAAAATGCTCACAAGCCCTCTGGTGCTAGTGGTAATACAACGTACGTTGCTGAGGAATATATAAACATGGGATTTTTCTACTTCTGGGTTTTTAATGTATCGTAAGAAAACTTCAGGAGCATTGTATATTGCTTGGTACCTCTGTTATATGGTAAAACAAGATGTGGATTTTCCTATGAATCATATTTCAAGAAATAGAGAGAAAAAAACTGCTCCAATCTTATTTACATTCTTCTCCTCTTGGAAATCTGTTACATAGATTGTCTCTGTGATGCTCTTCCTCTTTCTGAGCCTCAGGCACTCATAGAGTACAGTCTTTGGCCTTAGCATGCCTGTTTGTTTTTGCTGTCCGTTGGTCAACTCCAATCCTGGTGTCTCAAAGGGACCTTAAATAACATCTTCTCATTTTGTAGGAGAGGAAATTGAGATCTGGAGCAATGGATTGAGTTGGCCAGGAAACACTCAGTGGGTCAGAGACCAAACTGGACTCACTCACCGGGGTTACTCCATCTGCCACCAACTCTAGTGCCCACTAAGGTCCTGGAGGTGGAGCGGGTGTGAGTGGTGGGTGGAGACAGGTTATTAGATCTGCCGTAGAATGTCCACAGCCTCCCCTTATTTTGTAGTAGTTTGTATTTATGTTATTTATTCATATACTGCCTTAAACCAGATATGATTTAAAAATCTGTGTATCCATATTTCTTTAAGTTCTGCTCATGGGATTGAATAGTGCAAAAGTTTGTATATGCCCACAAACGTTCATGGAGGGAGAGACAAGAAACTTAACAGTTGTATCTTTGAGGAGTGAAGCTGAGAAACAATAATTTTTTATTTCACTCCTTCCCTCATGTACTGTTTGAAATTTGCATGCCATGGGTGAGTGAGCAGCAAGAGAAATGACTGACTTAAAGGATTTTATGGCATATTGAGGGAAATAGGACAGTCATCCATGTCTGATTTAACTTAAGAGTAATTTTATTACAAAATAGCCTCAACACAAGTCTTAAAGAAATTAAAGGTATAAGAGTAATCTAAACCAAATATGGGAGGTTTGAGAGGAAGACCAATCTATATTTCTTCCCTGCGAGACCCAGGAGGCCTTGCTCCCTTTAAGGATGTCATCTCAATCTCATGGAAGCACAGGTGCATGAAGCCTGGCCTGCAATTGGCGGCATTAGTGTGGTCTTAGCACCTTTAATTAGAGGAGCTCTTAGAGTGGTCTGAATGTTAATTACTCAATGCTCTTTTCTATTGGTGATTGTACTTCCTGTGGTTTTAGTCCCTTTTCTGAATATTACTGTCAGAAACACACATGCTTTCCCAGTATCACAGATAGAGAGAAACTTGGCAGAATCTTATGAGCTAGTTTGGTCCCTGCTATCACCGCTGGAAAGACGTATTCTTATAAGGAACATACCAGGAATCATCTTCCCTATGCAGGTCCTCACTCCCAGATGAAGGATCAGTGAAAATGGGGGAAAGTGTATGTCAGGATTAGAAAGATGCTCTGCTTTTTCATCTTTGTACCACCCACTTCATCATGTATTATAATGGCAAGGAATGGGGCTTCTAATTTTGCCTGTGTTTAGGATTTATTTTTTTAATTGGAAACTCAGTTTCATGCACATTTTTTAAGAGCTATATTGGCAAGAGCTATAAAATAGCAGAATGACACTTGTTAAAGTTTGCTTTACATTTCCAATTCTCTTATTTTCTGGCTGAGTCACTGTGAGCAGTGCTTCTTTTTCTGTAAAGCTGTCATTTTAGGATTCACTTGGTGCTCCTGCTTGAGCTGTTATCACTGCTGAATCTCCAAAAGAAGAGTTTATCTTATTAATTAAAACAACATGATATGAAATTCTAACTTCTTAAATTACACTGTAACATTTCTCTCAGGCCAACAGGGATCTCTTTTGGTGGTTTTGTCACAATTATAGCTTCCGCTCTGTTACAGTACCTTACTATTTCTAATGTGATTATAAGCCAACAAAATGTAGGATTTGATTGAGATTCACTGACATATTGCTAAGCATATACTAAGTTGTTGCAGTGGTCCCAAGAAGATGGATGGACTTATCATTCCTTATCAAGTCACTTCCTGCTTAAAATTCTTCCGTGGCATCCTGTTGCAATGAAAATAAAATCCAAACTCCTTATCTTGGCCAATAAGGCCGAGGAACATCTTGGCCCTGCCTCCCTTTCTGACCTCATCTCTGGCTCTCTCACTGTCACTCGGCTCCAGGCACACTAACCCTATCTCCCTGTCCTTATCATGAGCTGGTTCTGGCTGTAGGATCTGTGGACTGGCTGTTTTCTCTGCTACTGGGAGAGTACTCTGCACCAGGTCTTTGCATGGCCAGCTGCTTCTTGTCCTTCAGGTCTCAGTTCAGGTATCCCCTCTGAGGAGAGGCCCAACCTGACCCCCCTTCTTCACATCACCATTACTCTGTAACCTTACCTTGTTTAATTTTCGTCAGAGCACTTTCCACTCTTTGATCTTGTTCATTTATTTGTTTGCCTTTTTCCTCTACTAAAATATGTGTTGAATGAACGAATGAGGGAATGTCTGTTTTTGTTCAATATTGTGCCAACAGAATTTAGTATAGTGCCTGGATGTAGGAAGAAGTTAATAAATACTGGATGACTGGCCAGATGGCTGGATGGGTGGATGAAGGCACAATTAAAATGCAGATGGACACAGCCATGTGACATTCTAGAAATCTAAAAGACTGAGCTGGGTTACACAGAGGTTTGTACAGTACACACTCAGGGCAGAAGCAGCAGCCCTTTCTCTGCTGGGGCAGTACTAGACTCAACAGATAAGGTCTGGATTTAAGACATGTCAACAAAGTTGAGCACAGATGGGTATCCACATTGAAACTGCAACCTAGTGTTTTGTACAAATGAGAAAAACTCAAAGAAGAGTTCAGCCCTTAGAAAGAGCTGGCAAGACTCAGATAAGCAAAATAATCAATATATAGGATGGCACTTTCTGATTACTGGAGACCACAGTACCACAGTAGGGAATATGGGAATGATGCTCAAGCTTTTGTGCCAGAAACCAAGGCAGTCGGCATTAGAGGTGCAGATGGGTCCTCTGGAGCAGGCAAGTTGCAGCCTGTTGACGTTATTGCCGTTGCTAGTTTATTTCACTCTGTGTGCTTCAGAACTCTGGGGTTAGGTGGCACAAGGCCATTTCCATACCCATCTTGCTGGGCAACAACCAGCTGTTAACCTGAAGTCCTGCAATGGCAGCTTTAAATCTGGGTAAGATGTCTGCAAGGTAGAATCTTAAAAGCAACCAGGTTGGAACCAGGACTGGGCAAGAGCTGCTGGTTTTAATGGCAACTATGTATTTTTCCTAGAATCCTGGCCTGTTGCAGCTAGAAGGAATAATAAGTCTAATAATCTTATTTTTATAGATAAGGAAACACATACCCAAGAAGGTTAAGCTGATATTGGAGACTGAAATTCTGATTTCTTAGTTGTGTTTTTGTGCTACAGAGAGTATGTTGACTTCTCTTTGGGAAGAGAGGGGATTTTTCTATACTTAGCATTTCTCTGGCCAAAGTAGCTCACACTTGTAATACCAGCACTTTGGGAGCCAAAGCAGGAGGATCACTTGAGCCCAGGAGTTCAGGTCCACTCTGGGCAACATAATGAGATGCCATCTATGTAAAAAATTAAGAAATTAACAGGTGTGCTGGCATATGCCTGTAGCTCCAGCAAATCAGAAGGCTGAAGTAGGAGGATTTCTTGAGCCCTGGAGGTCAATCCTGCAGTAAGCCATGATTGCGCCGCTGCACTGTGGCTTGGATGACAGCATCAGACCCTGTCTCAAAAAAAAAAAATTAGATATTAATAATCAGACAATAATAATATAAATTATAATAGCTAATTTTTTTTGAGTTCTTTCTGTTTTCCAGGTACTGTTCTCAATGATTTGTACTTAGTAGCTCATTTCATTTTCATGACACCTCCATGA